AAAAAAAAAAAAAAAAAAAAAAGTTCTATTTTGCTTTTTAGAGACAAGATTTCTCTGTCACCCAGACTGGAGTGCAGTGTTGGCATCACAGCTCGCTGCAGTTTCAAACTCCTGGGCTCAAGTGATCCTCCCTCTTGCACTCCTGAGTAGCTGGGTCTACAGGTGAGCACCACCACGCCTGGCTAATTTTTTTTATTTTTTTGGAGAGATGGGTATTACTATGTTGCTCCAGGTGGTCTCAAACTCCTGGCTTGAAGGGATCCACCCTCCTCAGCCTCCCAAAGCACTGGGATTACAAGTGTGACCCACTGCTCCCAGCCAGAATAGCTAAAACTAAAACATATTTGTATGTGAGGTGCTGGTGAGGATATGGAGCAAGTGAAACTGTCATACACTGCTGGTGGGAATGAAAAATGTACAACCACCTCAGCAAACAGGCTATTTTGGCTATTTCATAAGTGCTGGGTGAGGTGTTAGAGCCTTGGCATCAGAAAGTGGTCAACTCGCGGGTCGGTAAAGAATTTATGGATGTCGGATAGGGTTGCACAATGAGTTTTGATATGCATGTATTTTGGAGATGTACAGAAATTCTAGTTACTTAAAAATTTTGGGAGGAAAAACCTGGAACCAGATGCCTGTGTTAGATAATACGGAAGTCTAATTACTTCTGAATTCCTCAGATAAGTTTTTGTCTCCAGGTCCTGCTGGATGGTCACCAGGTGATTTTGCTCTCCTCATTTTCCCCTGACAAATATCTTGGTCAAATCTTTGATCCTTTATATTCCCCCATGCTCACATCTGCCTGTTGCATATTATGGTCTCAAGAAAGAGAAAATAACATAGTGAAGAGGAGTTCAAGTCTATCCAGGTACTTCCTGCTTAAAGAGGACACTCCAGCCTGGACGACAGAGCAGGACTCTGTCTCCCACCCCCCCCCCAAAAATGTCCACAGTCTAGTCACAAATGTCCACAGCATTTTTAACAATTTATGTTGCTTCTAATTTGGGGCTATTACAAATGAAAATGCTGTGCCCATTAGGGATTGGATAAATAAATTGTGATAAACCCATACAATGGAATACTAACTAGTAATTAAAAAAAAAAAACAACCTGCTGATACATGCAATAAGGATGCAAAAAGAGAACATTGTGTAGGATTTCATTTATTTAAGATTCAAGAAAATGCAAACTAGTCTCTACTGACAGAAAGTGGTTGCTTGAGTGTGAAGTTAGGGAAATGGATTACAAAAGGCACAAGAAAACTTTTGGGAATGATGGATGATGATTTTTATTGCAGTAATGGTTTAATGGGCATAAATATATGCCTAAACTTATCAAACTTACAGCTTTATATGTGTGCAGTGTAGAATTCTTCAATTATAACTGAATAAAGTTTTTTTTGTTTTTTTTTTTTTTTTT